TTAACCTTTCCCAAAACATCAAAAAAGAAGGAATACTTCCCAACACATGAAGCAAATATCACCCTGATCCCCAAACCAGGAAAAGACCCAACAAGAAAAGAAAACTATAGATCAATATCTTTAATAAAGATAGATGCAAAAATACTCAATAAGATCCTAGCAAACAGAATCCAGCAACATATCAAATAAATTATACACCATGACCAAGTGGGTTTTATCCCAGGGTCTCAAGATTAGTTCAATATACATAAATCTATAAATATAATACATCACATAAACAAACTAAAAAACAAAGATCATATGATTCTCTCTATAGATGTAGAAAAAGCTTTTGACAATATCCAGCATCCTTTCATGATGAGAACACTTAAGAAAATATAGAAGGGACTTTTCTTAAACTGATAGTGGCCATCCACAGCAAACCCACAGTCAATATCATATTGAATAGAGTAAAATTGAAAACGTTTCCATTCAGATCAGGAACCAGGCAAAGTTGCCCATTGTCTCCACTGCTTTTTAACATTGTAATGGAAGTCTTAGCCATCACAATCAGGCAAGAGAAGGTGATCAAGAGTATACAAGTAGGGTCAAAGGAGATTAAATTTTCACTCTTTGTAGATGATATGATTTTACTCAACTACAAAACTCATAGAAGTGATCAAGGAATACACTAGTGTCTCAGGATACAAAATCAATACTCACAAATCACTAGCTTTTATATATATCAATAATAGTCAAGCTGAAAGAACAGTTAGGGACTCTATTCCCTTTACAGCTGTGCCAAAGAAGATGAAATCTTTGGAATTTACCTAGCAAAGGATGTGAAAATTCTCTATAAAGAGAATTATGAAATGCTGAAAAAAGAAATAGCTGAAGATGTTAACAAATGGAAAAACATACCATGCTTATGGCTGGGAAGAATCAGCATTGTTAAAATGTCATATTACCCAAAGCAATTTACAAATTTAATGCAATCCTATCAAAGCACCACCATCATACTTTAAAGATCTGGAAAAAACAGTACTTCATTTTATATGGAGCCAGAAAAAACCTCAAATAACCAAGACATTACTCAGAAATAAAAACAAATCAGGAGGAATCATGCTACCAGACTTCAAACTATATTATAAATCTATAGTGATCAAAACAGCATGGTATTGGCACAAAAATAGAGATGTAGTTTAATGGAACAGAATTGAGAACCAAGAGATGAACTCAGACACTTATCATCATTTGATCTTTGATAAACCCATCAAAAATATAAATTGAGGGAAAGATTCCCTATTTAACAAATGGTGCTGGGAGAATTGGCTGGTGACTTGTAGAAGATTGAAGCTGGACCCACACCTTTCATTAACAAAAATTGACTCTCATTGGATAAAAGATTTAAACTTAAGACATGAAACTATGAAGATTCTTGGAGAGAGTGCAGGAGAAACACTGAAAGAAGTTGGCCTGGGAGAATACTTTATGAGGAGGACCCATCCCCCCTCCCCAGCAACTGAAGCAACACCAAAAATACATTACTGGGATCTGATAAAACTAAAAAGTTTCTGCACAGCCAAGAACACGGTAAGTAAAGCAAGGAGATAGCCCTCAGAATGGGAGAAGATATTTGCAAGTTATGCTTCTGACAAAGATTTGATAACCAGAATCCACGAAGAACTCAAACTTATTAATAGGAAATGAACAAGTAATCCCATTTCATTGTGGGCAAGGGACTTGAACAGAAGCTTCTCTGAAGAAGATAGGTACATGGCCTACAGACACATGAAAAAAATGCTCATCAGATTTAATCATCAGAGAAATGCAAATCAAAACCACTTTGAAACATCATCTAACTCAAATAAGAGTGGCTCATATAACAAAATCCCCAAATGACAGATGTTGGTGTAGATGTGGAGAAAAGAGAACACTTCTGCACTATTGGTGGGAGTGCAAGTTAGTATGTCCCTTTTGGAAAGAAGTGTGGAGAAAACTCAGGGATCTAAAAGTAGACCTGCCATTTGATCCTGCAATTCCTCTACTAGGTGTATATGCAAAAGACCAAAAATGACTTTATAACAAAGATATTTACACTAGATTGCTCATTGCAGCTCAATTCATAATAGTCAAGTCATGGAAGAAACCCAAGTGCCCATCGACCCATGAATGGATTAAGAAATTGTGGTATATGTATACCATGGAATATTATGCAGCCTTAAAAAAGATGGATACTTTACCTCTTTTACATTTACATGGATGGAGCTGGAACGTATCTTACTTAGTAAAGTATCTCAAGAACGGAAGAAAAAATATTCAATGTACTCAGTACTATTATGAAACCAATTTACAATCACTCACACTTTCATATGAAGAATAGATCACAACTATAGCCCAGGATAAAGGAAGAAGGAGGGGGCTGGGAGTAGAGAGGGGAGGTCATATCGAGGGAGGGTGAATGGTGGGATCACACCTATGGTGCATAATGTAAGAGTACATGTTGGCTCTATTAGTATAGAGTACAAATATCTTAACACAATAATTATGAGATGTGGTATGTATTAAAAAAAAAACAAACAGAAGAAGACATACCTATGCTGATCCTTTACCTTTTTTAGTTGAGCTATCTTTTATTAATCAGTTGTAAGAGTTCTTTAGATACAAGTTACTTTATGTATTCTAGATATAAGCCCTTATCAGAATACGGTTTGCCTATATGTATTTTCTCCCATTCTTTGGCTTGGTTTGTATTCTTTACAAAATAAATGGTTTTAATTTTTATTAACAAAATAAATTTATTAAAAGATAAAATAATAATCTTCTCCACTGTGGTGGTTAGAGATTTAGAAAAGTTGAATTTAGGCATAAAAAGTAGAGTTATATTTAGGCAACTCGAATATCAATGTATAAGTTATTAATTCCGCTATATTAATGTGAAGCTCACTGAGTTAAGTAAATTGTTCATATATACATAGTTGAAAAGGCAAAATTCAAATCCTAATTTCTAAATTTGTGTCCTTTCTGTTGTGAACATATTGTCTCTAGTGAGAAACCACCACCAAAAACCTACTAACATCTTAGAGAGTTGACTTCACTTTTCTCAGCCTTAGTTTCCCCATCTATAACATGAAGATCCTTCATAGGTCTAACAATTTGCAATTTTATTACATGGGTCAGCAGAGAGAAGTTAGTAATTTCTTTTTCTGTAAGGTACTTTGAGAGTTTCCATTGCAATGATATTAAAGTTGATATATGAAAAAAGTTGAGAAATTCAACCAGAGTTCAGGGACAAGTTTGGTACATGACATATGCTTCTTCCCTACATGTGTGGTACTTTAGAGAGTGGGAACAGGGAGTCAGAAAAACCTATCTAGACACCAGCATTATCCAACTTTAAGGAAGATAAAGTAGTCGAAATACCTTTTGTTATTTTTTTGAGGAAAGAATTCTGCAAGTTTTATTTAATTCAGAGCAGATAATAAGAGATAATAAGCAGATTATATAGAGTTTGG